TAGATTCTTTCTCAGTAACAATGATATACTCACTCCTTACAGTGGAGGAAAAAAAAAAAAAAACCTTCCCTTAAATGTGGGGGAACTGCTATGTCTGAGTGTAGTCAGTGTCCTGAAATCCAGATGGTTCTTTAGAACATACACCATGTGAGCTGCTGTGTTTTCAACAGATATTTTCTGTTACATTATAGGGAGAAGGTCTTTTTAAAGCCATGAACCTTTTCAGGGTATAGCCCATAAGAGACTGTTGTCCCCGCAGGATCATTCTGCCCAACATTCTTTTGTCTTCTTAAGGGCAGACTTAACAGACAAGTGTATCCGTTGAATCTGTACATACAACACTTGAAGATGGGGGATGGACAGGCAAGAGGAGGTTTATAAACATGGCTTATTGGTTGTTGGTTTATTAGTGGGGGCAAGAGATTTAAGAGAGGACAGATCGGTGATTTCTCCAAGTCTGAATTCAGCAAGAACCTTACACCTCAAAAAGAATCAAATAAGTGCATCACCAGAAACTCCTAAAGCTAAAATGGCAAGGTCAGGAGCCCAGCATGGCAGAGGTGCCCACAGTTCCTTTTCCATGGAGGGTGGGTGTGGGGGTCCAGTTTGGGAAGCATGAAAGCAGCTTCACCTCTGAGCTCTTTTAAAGGACAGCTTCTGAGAGAACAAGAGTAGAACCAGAGGACTTTTTGATTTGTATCAGACTTTAAACTCCACAGCTCTGTTTTTCTAGATGTAAGGAGAGCCAGAGCCTAAGAATGCCCCCCGCAACCCCCAGAGCTGGCATGTGAATTCACATTGCTGCCACACCTAATTAAGGCAGGTTCTGAGTTCTAAAGGGAATCCCTCCTGATCCTCACCACACAGGAGGGAGAGTTAGGTATGCTCTGGAAAGGATGAGACCCCTGTCACCCAAAGTGGCCATGTTCCACAGCACAGCCTATTGCTCAAATTTGTCAGTAATGCCTTGCTAGTGTGAAAAACTGTTTATGGTAGTGCATGCCACTCAGGAGGCAGAGGCAGGCAGGTTTCTGTGAGATTGAGGCCAACCTGGTCTGTATAGCAAGTTCCAGACCAACTGGGGCTACAGGGAGACTGTCCCAAAAAGACCATTCATTAAAAGTAGAATGCCTTGTTAGTGTGAAACTAGGTCTGTACTCCCCGACAAGTACAAACTCAGTTCCACCCACACCATCCCATCTTGTATTGTAGACAGCTGTCAAGCAATGGCAGAAGCTGTTTAGAGGTAAAGAAAAGTGGCACAAGCCAGGCATGGTGGCACAAGCCTTTAATCCCGGCACTCGGGAGTTCCAGGCCAGACAGTGCTACATAGTGAGACCCTGTCTCAAAAAACAAAAAACAAAACAACAAAAAAATGGTGGTAAAGATATATTACTTGATGATAGCTGCAGTTAGTTTACACAGAATCTTGGGCTCATTAATATATGCACAGTAGCATATACCCTAACACATGTACACGCAGGTTCAGAGAGAAGGGTCAGAAGATTATTATTAAAATGTTTACCATCTGGGGCTGGAGAGCTGGCTCAGCAGTTAAGAACACTGGCTGCTTTTGCAGAGGACCCAGGTTTGGATCCCAGCACCCACATGCCAGCTAACAACCATCCATAACACCAGTTCCAGTGGATCCAATGCCTTCTTCTGACCACTGCAGGCATTGTGCAACACAGGTACCCTTACATACAAGCAATACACTCATACACATAAAATAAAAATAATAAAAGATTTAAAACCTCACTTCTCTAATGTTTTTAGCTATTAGCTCTATCTTAAAACCCAGTGACATAGGATATTTCTAACTTCACAGACCATAAACAGGTGCAGAAGTGATTAGAGCGGGGTCCTGCACATGGTAAGCTGAAGAGTAGGGCTGAGGTCCAGCCCACCCTCTTAGGAAGCTTCTGGTAGTTTAGGACAGCATGGCCTTTTTGTGTATGTCTGCATTTCCTACAGTAAACATATATTTATACAAGGGGAAAAGGACTAGCTTTGTTTTTAACATGATCAAATATGTTAAAGAAAAACCTGTAATTATTCTAGAAGCAACCAAAAGACAAGCAAGGCCATTGTGATTACTTCGTTCTCAAAGACTCAATTTTCAGAAATATAAGTTAGTCACTGTGGTGTAGCTAAAGTGTCAGTCGGTAGATATTCAGGCACATTTTGTTCCAACTTCTTTCCCACTCATTCTCAAAATAAAAACTAGCAGCAACATGTTTTTTTTAGGTGTGGCCAGGGTTGGATAATGAGAAGGCAGCAAGACAATGTGATCGTTTCGTAGCCAGACGGACTTGGGCTTCAACCGGCTGCTCTAGCCAGGGTACCTGACCTATAGGAATTACATGACCTTGCTGGATCTCTAATTCTACGTCCATTAAAAACAAGGATGTTGCCACCCACCTTGCAGGGTTGTTCTGAGAACCATGTAAGAGCAGCTTCTTAAAGCTGCTGGCTCACAATAGTCGTTAGAGCTACTTTAGGCCAACATCTTGATTTAAACA